TCATCTGGATTATAATGAGGAAAATTCACCTAGAGCCAACACCACACTTTTATTTCCCGTAAGTCCATCGTTTGTGTGAGGCAATTAATCAGCTGATGTGGAAATGGTGGGCAACCGAGCTAAAAGTAGTCCGCTTTCACGTGTTACATAAATGAACTGATTATTGACACATCTTAGTAGGTTTTACACAATGCGGGTGGTCTGTTCACATCTCACGCATAACAGGGTGACCAAACTGAATGGGTAAAAGGAAAAAATGTCCACTTAAGGGGGGGGTCTCCACTTTTTGCCATCGGTGTGTGACCTGTTCAAATGTGCCGATGGAAAATGTGTGGTAAAGTGCTTTAGGCTGCAGTGGTTTACGACCACTTTTCCTGTAGGTACATGTTGTCAATTAAGTCCGGTGGATGACCGAACGTGCGATGGGATGTGACAGTTGAAGTGATGACGACAGGTGTATCCTGGTTCGTCAGTCTCTGCACGATTAATTCATAATGAATCGATCATGTCCAGAAGGGAGTTAAATGTACAACCTCAACTAGGGCAGTTTGGGATCGAATCACAATTGATGGTGGTGAGGAAAATAATTGACAAGGCTAGAGGCAAATGTTCGCATCCCATGAATGTGTGCAGATAGAGAAGTAGAAGGCACTTCGATCACCGGAATCATAGTTTTACTTGTCTGAGCTTTCGGGCTCTTTCTGGAGTCCACCTTCAGAGGTAAAAAGCGTCAACAAAAGAAAAGACACAGTTGTAAGGGGCAGAGGTCAATCAAATGTTAAGCAGGGGAGGGGAATGGAGAGAGGAAGCAGTCAACCATCAGCGCTATAAGCCCGGAGATGACTCCGCAGGGCGATGTATGCCGGCGCCAGATCGATAAATTGATTGACTGAGTTCTCATCCGAGGCCCAGGCTTCAATCAATTCGCGGTCTGTCTTGTTGCCGGCGTGCGCGATTACCCTCGCAGTTGCGAAATTATACTCGTGACCGGTCTCGTAGGTATGAGCAACCACTTGCGATAATGCGTCACCCCGTCATACCGCCAGCTTATTCCGTGTTTGCGCGATCCAAACACACTTCCTGTCTGTTCT